AAAAGAAAAAAAAAAAAAAAAAAAAAAAGACATCTTGAATTTTGCATGCAAATGGATGGAAATAGAAAACACTTTCCTGAGTGAGGTAACCCAGACCCAAAAAAATTGAATATGGTATGTACTCACTCATAAGTGGATTCTAGCAATAAATAAGGGACATTGAGCCTATAATATGAGATCCTAGAGAAGCTAAATAAGAAGGTGAACTCAAAGAAAAACATATAGTTATCCTCCTGATATTGGAAGGAGACAAGATTGCCAGGCAAAAATTGGATACTTTGAGTCTTTAATCATATTTTTCTATATTTTACAATCCTCTCTGCCTCAGTTAACCTGTTTCTTTGGTAAGATCACTCTCTCTCCCAGGAAACTAACTAGTTGGTATTGCCCCCATCATTATGTTCTTATTTTATATGACTGCCAATTGGGTAAATTTTATTTCTAGTTATAGCCAATAGGTATACTTGCACATGCAAATAGTATCACACACACACATACACACACACACACCACACACTTGCACTCACGCATACAAGTAAAATACAACTTTTTAGAAAATTGCTTCTGATAACTACATTATATATTCTATCTAAAAGGGATTTACCTCTCTTCTGCTTTTGATGACGGCTATACAGCCGTATAATTTTATTAGCACTATTGTGATCATGACCTAGTATTTGGGGAAAATGTTTATCTGTGCTGTGACAATTTTCTTTTTGCTGCTGAAATGGACTTTTGAAGGAGCGTCAGAATTTTATTCTACTTCATGTCTGAGAGTCAGTGATCCATTTGAAAAAAGTCTATTGCAGAGGATAATATTAAGGAATGTCTGATGCTCATGAAGTCTCATGATATAAAAATTATATCTTTGGGAAACAAATTAAAAGTTTATAATTATTTTTGGATGAGTGATCTCTAGTTTCATATCATCACTTTTGTATAGGTATTATTTTTCCTGTTTTATCGACAGAAATAAGCATGTAAAACATATTGAGAGATTTAACATTCTCAAAATCACACAGGAAAATGCAAAAGTAGTTCAAAAATCTAGCTTGCTAGATTGTTTACTTTATTTACTTTGCCTGTTTATAATTCGAGTTTTCCTTTTCCATAATTTATTCAGTTATTTATTTATTTAATGAAAATACAATTATATCATTTTTACCATATTTTCTCTCTCCAGTACTTTCCATGTCTTGTCTATCGAAGCCCTCCTATGTCCTTGTCTTTCAGTTTATAGCCTCTTTTCCTTTGATTTGATGTGTGAATGTGATGTATGTATACATATATATGTATGCATGTATGTATGAATGCATGCATGCATGTATGCACAAGTAAGCAAATGCAACGTGCTGAACAGGTTTTGCTGTTAGTGTGTCTACAGTTTCAGAGTGGGCCACTTTGAAGCAGTTCATCCCTAGGAGAGGCTAACTTTTCCTTTGTTGCCTATAGTTTTTCTAGAGGTTTTGAGATTTTTCCCCTTCTTTTTTTTATTATCTTTAAGACAATCTTTTTTATTTTGCATACCAATTCCAGTTTCCTCTCCTTATCTTCCTACTGCTCCCCTCATCTTTCCCCCACCACCCATTTCTAGAGAGGGAGAGGCCTCCCATGGGAAGTCAACAAAGTCTGTCCTATCACGTGAGGCAGGACCAAGGCCCTTCTCCCAGTATCTAGGTTGAGTAAGGTATCCCTCCATAGGGAATCTGTTCCATAACTCCAGTTTATACTATAGGGATAAATACTGGTTCCACAACCAGTAGTCCCCCCCCCACAAATGCCCAAGCCACACAACTGTCACCCATATTCAAAGGGCATAGCTTGGTCCAATGCAGTTTCCCCAGCTGCCAGTCCAGAGTCACTCAGCTCCCATTAGCTTGGATGAGCTCTTTCTGTGGGTTTCCTCATCATGGCCTTGATCCCTTTGCTCATATGATTGCTCCTCCCTCTCTACTACTGGACTCCAGGAGTTCAGCCAAGTGCTTAGCTGTGGATTTCTACATTTGCAGCTGCAAGTAAGCACGTCTATTGATTTTGTCACTGTTCAAGTCTTCTCTATGCAGCCATTTCTAAAAGAGGCAGTGTCACAATAGACTTCCTGGTATTCTGACTTTAGCGATCTTACTGCCCCTTTTTCTGCAAGGTTCCCTGAGCCATATTTGCAGGAGCTATGCTGCAGATGCATCCTGTGGGTTGCATCTCACACCTGGTTGATCTTTGTATTAAGTCCAGTTGTGGTTTTCTGTGATGGTTTCCATTTGTTCTATAAACAAGCTACTTTGATGAGAGGTGATATCTGCACTTGTCTGTGAGTATAATAAGATTTAGAATGTTGTTCAGGATTAGTGCTGATCTATCATAGTAGCAGTGGTAGATTTTCTTCTAAGATCTGTGACCTTATTAGTGTTGGGTAGTTAGTTAAGTTTCTAGTACCAGGCATGATTTCCCTTTGTTGATGGGACTAAAGTCCACTTAGACAGCTGTTGATTACCACCAATATATGAGTGCTAATATTCCACCTTCATGAACATCTTTTTTTATTGGTCATTTTTATTGATCATAGCTATCATAACTGAATAAGGTTTTTAATTGTTTCCTCCCCTTGGCAGTTTTCACATTATTTTCTTATTCTATTGAAACTAGATGGTTGTAAGAAGGCTTTCACATTAGATCCAACTGGAATAATTCAAGTCTTGTGTCATTAGGATTCAGTGTGCTCAGGTGATGTGGGAATGATTTCTTACTAATAAAGAAACTGCCTTGGCCCATTTTATTGGATAGAAAATTAGGTAGGCGGAGTAGACAGAGGAGAATGCTGGGAAAAAGAAGCTGTGTGAGGAGTCGCCATGGTTCTCCCGTTCCAGACAGACGCAGGTTAAGATCCTCCCTGGTAAGCCAGCTCGTGGGCTACACAGAATATTAGAAATGGGTTAGAACAATATGTAAGAGCTAGCCATAAGGAACTGGAACTATCCGGGCCAGGCAGTGTTTGAAAGAATACAGTTTCCGTGTAATTATTTCTGGGCATAAGCTAGCCATGCGGGCGGCCGGGTGCCGGGGACGCAGCCCTGCCGCCGCTCCTATTTCAACACATGGCGCCCAGACGTGATGGCTAAATCCACTTAAAAACCTGAGAAGGCTTAAAAATAAGGGAGAGAGAGTTTAACACAGATTTTTGCTGTTTTGTTGGTGGCGTTCTGTAGAGAAATTTCCTGATTCACCAACAGCAGCAGAAAAAAAGCTGCGTCATTTTAAAGAGCCACTTCCCGGGGCTGTGCTACCACCGTGAACTCTGGCTTTAAAGCATTTCAAGGCTTTTATGGGACTGGATGTTTGTGTTCCCGCTTGGGATCGGAGGAGAGTGCTCTGAGACTGTGCCGATGGCTCAGCGCTTCCCGCCTGCACCTGGGCAGACGGCAGAATCAGGCTTAGGCAGGCGGAAGAGCATGGCGGATTCCTGCCGCCATACAGAGACGCATTTTCAGACTGCGCAGTGCTCTGCGTGTCAGATTTGGCTGTAACTTGGAAGAAAAGAGTTTCTGTGCTGCACACTCAGTCTCAGAGTTAAACTGCTGATTGCGGCTCCAATGTGGACTGCTGTGTGCCTGGAACTGTTGTGGCTCAGGGGCACCAAATGGCTCTGAGGCAGGAGCAGCTTGGCTCAGCTCTGCCATGCTGATCTGTGCTGGTCTCAGGCAGGAACTACCGTAATTACCTTAAAACCGTGCAGTTAAGGTTTAGACTGGGCAGGACACAGGCAGTACCGTATTACCTGTACATGGTGCAACTTAAGTTTTTAAGAACTGTTTAACATTTTAAGAAATGCTCCTGGATAGTGAAAAAATTACAGATTCACAATAAAACAGATTCAGACAGACCACTAAATGGATCACAATGTTGGATGAGTGTACGTAGGCTTGAGAGAGAAAAAAAAAATATAGAGAGAAAGAATAAAGTTAATGCCCTTAAAAAAAAGGGGATAAAGTCTTTAAAGAGACAGAGTACAGATAGTTATAGATTAAGAGAAATAAAGTAAATATAAGCCACGTAAAAATGGAAAATTCACAGAGAGTCTGGATTATGTACATTGTGTTTTCTTTAAAATTTTTGACTGTGAAGGAGCTAAGTACAGAGAGACATTTCATTACATGGGCTGCCAATCTAAACCAAAATGGATATAAGGGTATTATGATTTCAGAATTTGGGTCTAAGGATATGATGCTTTGGAGAGGGTCTTCTTTTGTTTTTGCAGAGGATGAGACCCTGTGGATTGCATCTATTCCGATTTGGTATGATAGACCACGCCCTCCTGAAAGGTTGCTGTGAATACCCTCAAAAAATTGCTTCGCTCAATTGCCAACTGAGATGAAACTAGCATACAGGTTATATCATGAACAACCTAATTAACGACGCCCCTATTCAGCAGGAAGCAGTTTGTAGAGAAAAAACTACGCCCATGTTCCCAAATATTGTTTATAAATGTTCTTTTACATTTAAAGGGGGATATGATATAGATATGAATAATTTGCATTGGTATGGATTTTATGGTCAATTTTGTTATATGTATATGTATTTTTGATCTTGATTAAGGTATTGTGATTGTGTAGTTCATTTAAAAATGTAATGTATAATTAGGAAATATAGGTTGTTAATGGATAATCATCGCTAATACTTAAGCTTGTAGTCATGTTAGTTAGATTTTCTAGATATATAGAGAGATATTTTAGTTAGATAGGCATTCTTCATATCTTTCAAAGGCTGCAGAATATGGCATTTAAGATATTTTAATAACTTAGGGTTTTTCATGACAATGAGACACATTTGCTCCTGGCAGCACCAATCTATTTCAAGAGGAAGATGGGCATCGAAGAGAATCCTTATGGAGTTTGATAGCCATTTGGGCAAGAAACTGCTCTTGCCTGGACTGTTGCATAAACTGGACACAGAGAACCCGCAGAGAGAGGACTGCTGAACTTGCCTAAAGGTGAGATGACCTTTTGGGGTTCCTGCTTCATGAAAGAGTCTGTGAGACATTCTGCAGGACACAGCAAAAAGTGACTGAACTGTCTTTGGAATTTCTTGCTTGATGAGAATGTCTGCTGGATACTATGGGCCTGTAGGCCGAAGATGGATGCCCCAACGGTACAGAGGAACTTTGGGTGACTGTCCAGGCAGCGAGATGTCTCTGTCATTTCTAGAGTTTTCTTATTTCTTGTTTGATAGGTAATATTATATCCTTCTGGAGTCTTTGATGGAGTTGAAGAATGGTTAGTTATAGTTTTCCTTAGTTATGATAAGAGATAAAATAGATATAAATATTGTAACTGTAATTCTTACTTGATAACTGTTTTGTTATATGTAATTTTACTATGTTAAAGTTAAAGCCTTTCTTTTTTGTTTAAACAGAAAAAGGGGAAATGATGTGGGAGTGATTTCTTATTAATAAAGAAACTGCCTTGGCCCATTTTATTGGATAGAAAATTAGGTAGGCGGAGTAGACAGAGGAGAATGCTGGGAAAAAGAAGCTGTGTGAGGAGTCGCCATGGTTCTCCCGCTCCAGACAGACGCAGGTTAAGATCCTCCCTGGTAAGCCAGCTCGTGGGCTACACAGAATATTAGAAATGGGTTAGAACAATATGTAAGAGCTAGCCATAAGGAACTGGAACTATCCGGGCCAGGCAGTGTTTGAAAGAATACAGTTTCCGTGTAATTATTTCTGGGTATAAGCTAGCCATGCGGGCGGCCGGGTGCCGGGGACGCAGCCCTGTCGCTCCTATTTCAACACTCAGGAATAAGGGATTGCTTTGGACGTCTGTGAGGCACCTAAGGGCTATATTATTAGTCTATATTGTTATGGTTGTCACTTGACTACCCTGAACAACTATTTAAAAAGAGGTTTCTTTTAGTTTGTTTATATGGTAGATTACATTGACAGATTTTCGTATGTTGAACCATTCCTGGGTTGGGATGTTGAATCTTCATCTCTGGGATAAAGTCTACTTGATCATGGTGGATGACTTTTTTGATGTGTTCTTGGATTCAGTTTGCTAGTATTTTACTATTTTTGCATCATTGTTCTTAGTTGTCTCTTTGTGTGGTTTGGGTATCGGGGTAACTGTAGTTTCATAAAGAGAGTTCACAATAATTAAGAATAGAACCAGCCTAGGTATCTATCAATAAATATATGGCTATGGAAGTGTGGCTCATAAAAATGGACTATTTTAGTTTTGAATAAAAGTGAAATACAAGTATTTGCAGTAAAGAGGGCTGGTATGTAGATAGCCACACTAAATAAAATAAGCCAGATTCAGAAATTTATGTTAGATATACTCAAACACAAATATGTGCAGGTCATACAAGTATGAGAGGGAGAAAAAGAGAAGACAGAGAGGTTTCAAGAGTATGGAAACTAATTGTAATAAATTAAATGTAATATAGAAGAATAAAAGAGTACTCTTTAGGATAGAAAATACCATCTCTGGAGGAGCATGAAGAAGGGGGAGAAACATGTGGAAAGGACAGATGAAAACAGACCCCAAGTATGTTATATGTGCATATAACTTTGAAAATACCATAATTTAATTCATGAATCTGTATCCTAACTTAAAGACAGAATGAAGAAATTACTATATATAATCAGAGTAAGCATTGGAAATATTTATGCTGGTTTAATTTTCACCCCAGTGTTGCTTAATAAGCTTCATGTCTAAATAACAAATCTCTCAATGTTTTCTAAATCCTTCCTCTTCTACCTCCAGGATCAACAGACCGACTCATAATGAAGAGACAGAGAGTCAGATATTTTATAGTGGTTCTGACATCCATAAAAGTGCTACCATATTCTCAGTTTTTATCTCAATATAAAAATTATTTTTAGTCAAATATTTGCTTTGCAATATTTACTTAAATGCTTGTATATGTATAAGCATATGTGAGTGCAGGTGCCCATGGAAGTCAAAAGAGGGCATCAGATCCTCTGGAGCTAGAATTACAAGAAGTTATGAGGCACCAAGAATGGGTTCTGGCAACTAAAAATTGGTGCTCTGAAAGCACAGCTAGACTCTTAACTATTGAGCCATCTTTCTGGCCCTCTGACATAAGCATTAATAGTTGTCTGTTTATGTCACAGATATGTTCTAATATGTTCACCTATTCTATAGTCATTTACTTATTTATTTCCCACCCCATTCATAGGACATTCTGAATAAGTTTTCAATAAAGCAGGAAAAAAACAGACAAAACCCCATAAACATTTGAGCTCCCAAATCATCCACCTAGCTAAATAATGTAATAAGCACTCAAGTTATGAAATATGGTATGTAATAATAGCTTCCCAGTGTGACCGGAATCCTATGGTGTGGGTTCTACAACTTTATTCTAGAACACAAAGTGATTTGCCTTGAAGCTGTGGATTTCTTTGAATGACGATGAGTCAGATAGTCTTCTGGGACAGGAGAACAGGATATATATTACTGTGTTTCCTGTGAATATTCTCTTCCACAGAAACAGCCTTTGTTCTCCAATAATTATTTTAAGATACTTTGCAAGATGACAACCATATTTGGCATCTTCACTTTAATTTTTTATTTGACTTGAAGCGTAGATGTATCCAAAGCACATCTTATGACTTGGTGCAGCAAGATCTCAGAATATTCTTCCAAAAGCTGGAAACAAGCTAAATTCACTCATTCACAGATCCATTCCACAATTAAGCATTCATAAGTACTTCTTGTTGCCAGGCACTATCTCATTCCAATTTATCAATGAGTCTTGGGCAAAGATTTTGTTCTTTTAAATGAGGTATAAAAGTATGTCCAAAGATTTGCAAGAAATTGAGGCTTTGCCTTTGTAGTTGTATTGAGAGAGTAGAGAAAGGTCAGAGGTGATTTCTGGCTGAGCCTTCTGGAGAGTAAGAGAGTGGGCATAATGGAAGTTGGGTGATTAAGGGGAGAGCATCTAGGGATAGGTCACATGAGTAAAGAGGCAGAGGCAGCCAGCATGGCCATTTAGAGTGATACTTATTTTGACTTTAGCACATGAGACATGGGAATTCATGAACTTATTTGACGTGTAAGTGATATTATACAACTTTATGTCTTACTCTTGCACTGTGAATTATGCATCAACTGTGTGGATGAAGTTTTGGAATCTATCATAGTAAACCAGGAAAGAGATGACAAGAAGATGGAAGAAAATACTCAAAACAATGGTAGTAATACCCTATTATGCAGAGGTTTTTTTTATTTGGTTGTGTGTTTGTGCAGGTACATACATGTATGCACATACATACATATAGAGAACAGAGAACAGCTTAAATTTTAACTTTTGTACTATTTGCCTTGGATTTTAGACAAAGTATCTCATTGGCCTAGTGCTCACTAATTAGGCTAGGCTGCTGCCTATCAAGTCCAAGGGATCCTCCTGTTTCAGCCTTGCCAGAGATTATGAGCCTATTTAATCATCCTGGGCCTTTTCATGGCAGCTAGATATAAGACTCATATCTTCCTACTTGTGACACAAGTTAATTCTTGACAAAGTCATCCATCTCCTCTGCTCTAAGAAACAGGAACTTACAAAGGCTATAAAATGTGAGAAAAGAAAAGAAGTAATTCAAATGTATTTGTATTACTTAACTAATAATTAATTGATAAATAATTATTAGGTAGAAAGACATTACTGCTAACTAGTAATAAAGTGAAAATGGCTAAGCAAACAAGGATTAGAGGATTTAGACCAAAATTTACTAAGCTTAAATTTTAATTTGAATATTAAATGACATTGGCATGTTGAAAACAAGCATGTAATGCAAAATTTCACATTCTATTTTGTTTTCTTACCTGCACAACTTATATATGTGGGTAAATTTATACAAGATACCACCTCCTTCTTTTTGAGTCCATTGTCTGCAGATGTACTTATTCCTCAAAATCAGGTTTTATACTTGGCTCGTACATATGCACTCTTACCATGCATATACCAGTACCCACATTTATTCTGTCTCCAGTGGTCACAAACTAAGGCTGCTAAACTGGCATTATGTACTGTGATGTGGGAGTGATTTCTTAATAATAAAGAAACTGCCTCGGCCCTCATAGGACAGAAAATTAGGTAGGCGGAGTAGACAGAAGAGAATGCTGGGAAAAAGAAGCTGAGAGTGAGTCGCCATGATGCTCCCACTCCAGACAGACGCAGGTTAAGATCCTCTCTGGTAAGCCAGCTCATGGGCTACACAGAATATTAGAAATGGGTTAGAACAATATGTAAGAGCTAGCCAATAAGAAACTGGACCTAGCCGGGCCAGGCAGTGTTTGAAAGAATACAGTTTCCGTGTAATTATTTCTGGGTATAAACTAGCCATGCGGGCGGCCGGGTGCCGGGGACGCAGCCCTGCCGCTCCTATTTCAACAGATGGCGCCCAGACGTGATGGGCTAAATCCACTTAAAAACCTGAGAGGGCTTAAAAAGGAGAGAGAGAGAATTTAAGACAGCTTTTTGCTGTTTCTGGGTTGCGTGCCGCAAAGAAATTGTCCTGACTCGGCAGCAGGAAAAAACTGGCTGTTTTAAAATGCCGGCTTTCTGGGCTGTGCCGCCATTGTGATCTCTGTCTGGCTCCGGCGGGAGACAGAGCTTATGAATGGAGCATTTGGATTAAAGTGCTACGATTTGTTTGATGGCAACTAGACTGCTGTGTGCCTAAAAGGGGGACATTGTGTGCCGCAGCTCAGAGGCACAAGCAGCTCCGCCATGCTAATGGTGCAATGTGCAAGGATCAGAGGCACGAGCGGCTCCGCCATGTTGGACTGGGCGGGGCCAGCATACAGTACCTGTTTTTGACCTAGGAATGTCACAGCTTAGATTCTTAAGCGCTTAGTGATTTAAAGGCGCAAAACAAAGTGCTCCTGGATAGTAAAAAAATTACAGATTCACAATAAAACAGATTCAGACACTGTTGGATAAATGTACGTAGGCTTGGGAAAGAGAAGAAAAAGAATATAAAGAATAAAGTTAATGTCTTAAAAAGAAAAAGGGTAAAGTCTTTAAAGAGACAGAGTACAGAAGTACAGATAGTTATAGATTAAGAGAAATAAAGAAAAATAAGCCACGTAAAAATGGAAAATTCACAGAGAGTCTGGATTATGTACATTGTGTTTTCTTTAAAATTTTTGACTGTGAAGGAGCTAAGTACAGAGAGACATTTCATTATATGGGCTGCCAAGCTAAACCAAAATGGATTTCATGAGGGTATTATGATTTCAGAATTTGGGTCTAAGGATATGATGCTTTGGAGAGGGTCTTCTTTTGTTTTTGCAGAGGATGAGACCCTGTGGATTGCATCTATTCCGATTTGGTATGATAGACCACGCCCTCCTGAAAGGTTGCTGTGAACACCCTCAAAAAATTGCTTCGCTCAATTGCCAACTGAGATGAAACTAGCACACAGGTTATATCATGAACGACCTAATTAACGACGCCCCTATTCAGCAGGAAGCAGTTTGGAGAGAAAAAACTACGCCCATGTTCCCAAATATTGTTTATAAATGTTCTTTTACATTTAAAGGGGGATATGATATAGATATGAATAATTTGCATTGGTATGGATTTTAAGGTCAATTTTGTTATATGTATATGTATTTTTGATCTTGATTAAGGTATTGTGATTGTGTAGTTCATTTAAAAATGTAATGTATAATTAGGAAATATAGGTTGTTAATGGATAATCATCGCTAATAGTTAAGCTTGTAGTCATGTTAATTAGATTTTCTAGATATATAGAGATATATTTCAGTTAGATAGGCATTCTTCATATCTTTCAAAGACTGCAGAATATGGCATTTAAAATATTTTAATAACTTAGGACTTTTCATGACAAGGAGACACGTCTGCTCCTGGCAGCACCAGCTACTTCAAGAGGAAGATGGGCATCGAAGAGGATCCTTATGGAGTTGGATAGTCATTTGGGCAAGAAACTGCTCTTGCCTGGACTGTTGCATAAACTGGACACAGAGAACCCTCAGAGAGAGGACTGCTGAACTTGCCTAAAGGTGAGATGGTCTTTCGGGGTTCCTGATTCATGAAAGAGTCTGCGAGACATTCTGCAGGACACAGCAGAAAATGACTGAACTGTCTTTGAAATTTCCTGCTTCATGGAAATGTATCTGGATACCATGGGCCTGTAGGCCGAAGATGGATGCCCCAACGGTACCAAAGAACTTTGGGTGACTGTCCAGGCAGCGAGATGTCTCTGTCATTTCTAGAGTTTTCTTATTTCTTGTTTACTTAGGTAATATTATATCCTTCTGGAGTCTTTGATGGAGTTGAAGAATGAATAGTTATAGTTTTCCTTAGTTATGGTAAGAGATAAAATAGATATAAATATTGTAACTGTAATTCTTACTTGATAACTGTTTTGTTATATGTAATTTTACTATGCTAAAGTTAAAGCCTTTCTTTTTTGTTTAAACGGAAAAAGGGGAAATGATGTGGGAATGATTTCTTACTAATAAAGAAACTGCCTTGGCCCATTTTATTGGATAGAAAATTAGGTAGGCGGAGTATACAGAAGAGAATTCTGGGAGAAAGAAGGTTAGAGGAGGAGTCGCCATGATGCTCCCACTCCAGACAGATGCAGGTTAAGATCCTCTCTGGTAAGCCAGCTCATGGGCTACACAGAATATTAGAAATGGGTTAGAACAATATGTAAGAGCTAGCCAATAAGAAACTGGACCTAGCCGGGCCAGGCAGTGTTTGAAAGAATACGGTTTCCGTGTAATTATTTCTGGGTATAAACTAGCTATGCGGGCGGCCAGGTGCCGGGGACGCAGCCCCACCGCTCCTATTTCAACAGTACTGTCATTTGAAATTTTTTAAATTTGTATTACATGACCCTTGTAACATGTAAATATTTTTTTCTTTGAAATCGCACTTCATTAATTCATGAGACAAACTTTTGTCTGTCCCTTTTTTATCTCTTACTATTATTTTTTCATTAGCTTTGGATATGAGGTTGCTTCTTAACGCATTGATGTGATTTCAAGGCACAACCTTAGTCTTCAAAATTATCTAATTCAACAGGCTTTCTCTCACAAAAACTATCTTTCCTCATAGCTTAAGCGTTCAATAGGCATGTAAGTTATATTAAAATATATTCAGTAGAGTCCTTTTCTCATTATTAATAGATTCATTCAAATAACTGCTTTTTGGTATCTATTAAGGTTCTAACTATACATAGTCAAAGGAAAAACTACCTCATCTATATGATGACTCTGTCTGTGGACACACACACACACACACACACACACACACACACACACACACACAAACACTTGGAAGAGGGAGTTCCTTCTTGACTTTATTGCATTTATTTTCCATGTCATTCCTTGACCCAAGTATTTTCATTCTGATACTCATTCATCTTACCCAGTTCACACTAATACAGTTATGTTTGCTTTCGTATATTCCAAATCTCTCCCCTTGTTTAGATTTACATCTACAACTTTCCTGATCTTTGAATCCAGCTTTATATGTATCCCTCCAGGTATTCCTGTACGCATAAAGCTTCTACTGTGTGTTAAACAGGTAGGAGGATAACATACATTTTAACCTGTGCTCTTTTTCTTTTCGAAAAGCTCCTTTAAAAAATCCATTACCTTGAAAACAGGAGTTTTTGTTGTCTTAGGAAGAGTGAAACAGAGACCAAACTTCTAAATCCTTCACTTTCAAATTCGAAATACTGTTCCTGTTTTAAAAAGAACAATGAATATGAAGAATTATGAAATATGAAAGAAAGGAAGAAAGAAGGAATATGAAATGATTTCATTTTTGTTGTTTTTTAGAATGAATCAGTCTTCCCTGAGCTTAAAAAGTTTTTTTTTTTTTTTTAAAGAAGAGAATGGAAGTGTAACATTTCTCTGGTGTATATAATGTATTCAAACTGCTTGTAAAGATTTATTTTTCAAGTATACCTCAATCAGCGGGAAGTACATTGCTGAAGTGTGGCTGTGTGAACACACGCATGCATTCAAACAGGCATGTAGAACCAATAGATAATTGTTAAAGGAGCCTGCTAGTTAGTTCCCAGACACTTAGCCCTGAAATAATCACACAGAAACTGTATTAATTATATCACTGCTTGGCCCATTAGCTCTAGCTTCTTCTTGGCTAACTCTTACATATTAATTTAATCCACTTCTACTAATCTGTGTATGGCCACATAGCTGTGGCTTACTGGCTAAAGTTCTGCCATCTGTCTCTGGTGGGGCTACATGGCTTCTCCCCAACCCCGCCTTTCTTTCTTCCAGCATTCAGTTTAGCTTTCCCCACCTACCTCTATTCCTTGTGCAGGCTCAAGACAGTTTCTTTATTAACCAATGGTATTTACAGCATACAGAGGGAAATTCCACATCAGATAATTTTTAAGAGAGTAATTTATTCTTTCTTCTTATGACTCAGTTTTGTGATATTTTCCATTTGTATTTAAAAACACTCTTCTTGACACAGTAAATTGTTTTCATTATTTATTCATTAATGGGTCACTGAGACCTGCAGCTTGGAAAGCACTGATGGACAAAGTGACATGAACATATGTGAGCAAATTAATTTTTATCCAAAATTCAAAGCAAGTACTTAACATTTGAATCACTTGAGTCATTAGTCTATACTTTAAGTGTTGTTGACTAACAAAAAAGAATCTTGATCAGGGTTTAATGTCCTTAGACTTCCTAGTGAGATTTTAATTCCTAAAATGCATTAGATTATTGGGCAGTTGGACTTAAGGTTGTTTGAATTTTTTTTCTTGAAATAAATAGTACTCAGAAGTTGAGGTGCCTTCAAGTAATTTAGTAGTATGATTTTTTTCTTAGCCAAATTAATTTGTAAACCTGGTCATCTAAGAAGCTAAAGTTTGGTACTGCACAAGAGATAAAACTGCTCAGTCTTATTTTAGTCATCCTCAGTGAAAACTTACCCCACCTGTTTTAATTAAAAGCATAACTCAACTTTGAAACACAATTAATAAAAACTCAGAGACAGATATTGGGGTTCAACTTGAAGATAAAAACAAAGCATTCAGAAAATGGCGATCCTACCTCCAGGAAACCTCAGAATGAGATTGAGCCTGACAGCTGTCTTCTGTCTTTATAATCCTCTCTAGTACTACAATTGAGGGCATGCACCACTACTGCCTGGTTTCTACGGCAAATTATTGTGCCGTAGAAAACTGGGATTAAATGTGTGTGTCATTTCTGCCTGATATGTAAGGCTGGCCAGTGTGGCTGTTTTATTTTCCTGATTTTCAGGCAAGCTTTATTTATGCTCACCTTACTAGACCTGGAAGGAGGTGGGAGGTCCTTGGACTCCCCACAGGGCAGGGAACCTGCTCTTTGGGCTGATGAGAGAGGGGGAGTTGACTGGGGGAGGGGGAGGGATATGGGAGGGGGTGGTGGGGAAGAGACAGAAATCTTTAATAAATAAATAAAAAAAATACAAATGAAATGCTACTACACAACTTTCCATTGAATCATTTTGAAATTTGCCTATTAGTAAATCTTCCATTCATAGAGGGTTTCACAAGGCAAAAATCAGAACAGGTATATTACTGCCTTTGGATCCTTTTGAGAAGAATTTCTTATATTTCTATCAGATCTTATTCTAGACAAGTTCACTCACACAACACACTCTGAAAAAATGGTCATTTTAGTTGCACTCAGAATGTTATTTGGTAGGGTATGTATTAATAGCCTTTGATAAATCTTAGAAACGGTTAAGGAAACTAACTGTTCAATATCATGAAGCCAAAAAAAATTATATTTCTTTGAAATTCAAGTCTTACTTCAAAGACCATTCTCCAGTTCTTTCTTAACACTGCCACTGTAGACAACTCGGTATCCTTTGTAAGAAAGGTCAGGAGAACCTAATAGAGGGAGGCATGCCAACAACCACATCATTTTATTATCACTTTAGAATATATGGAGAATAATTTATCATGCTAATTTCCTGAAAGAAGTTCAGAAAACTTATTTCAGAGATATTTTCATGTATAGAAAAAGAA